ATGAATCTTTTGTTGGAAATTGTAAATGTTTTTCAATCAGAAACAAGGGGCGTTGGTTGGTTGCTAGTTTGAGAGTTGGGAGTTGGGAGTTTGGGAGATGGTCTTGGTGACGATGCAGGTTTTAGACCATTACCACTTTTGCAAAACCCACGAGTGTATATGTGAAACAAGTTACCTTGAGACCAAATTCAATTCTGAGCTCTACAAATGTCGTTGCTGACAATTTCAAAAATTATAATTGTATAAGGCCACACTTGTTTTATTTCAAAGTTTACGAATTTTTGCTTCAGTATGTAACAAGAAGGTCGGTCGTTTTGTTAATTGGTTGGGAAAAGTAACTGCCAATAATGTTTAAACGGTGATGTTATTTTACAGAAACATGCATATGGATCTTTGTTCCTTATATCCTTTTAAATGGATTTTATGAAGTAGGCAAGAACGCACAAATAGAAATTTGGGAGAAATCATTGAAAAGTCTGTACAAAGCGCTAAAGACAATGCAGATGAAAATGACAGAATAGGACAGATAACATACACGTCAAGATAGTGTCGATACTAATTATAAATCTGGATAAGTACAAATTTTGTCAGGACAAACCCAGTGCACGTACTAGATTAGTTGAGGTCATTGATATCGGTGCGGGTACGAAACTTAGAAAAACTTGGCTTCAGAAAATGTGCTTTGGGAAGGATAAGTATTGCACAGTAAGCATGTACCTGTTTGCAGCTAGAGGGAGGTAGATTCAAAGAACAAAGGGTTGAAGTAGAAGGTATTGAGGTTGAATGAATGGCTGTTGTTGGGGGATGCGTATCATATGTTAGTTTTAATAATTGTCCCTAATCTGAACATTACACAATATGTACACATAAGGATGATGTTGCAGACTGAATAGAATAATTAAGTGTTTGCATGTGTGGAGTGATGTGTGTGTGTGTGTTTGTTTGTGTGTGTGTTTGTGTGTGTGTGTGTTTGTGTGTGTGTGTGTTTGTGTGTGTGTGTGTGTGTGTGTGTGTGTGTGTGTGCGTGTGCGTGCGCGCGCGTGTGTGTGGAAGGGTATGCGTGTGGAATATGACTTGGAATGTTTGGCTTTGCAAGACATTGCTTATAGCCAAATACCCATTAGTATTCTCATGTGTCTTGATTATACCTCTCATGTGTCTTGATTATACCTCTCATGTGTCTTGATTATACCTCTCATGTGTCTTGATTATACCTCTCGTTTGTCATGATAATACCTCTCATTTGACATGATGACACCTCTGATTTGTCACGGTTATACCTCTCATTCGTCAAGACTATATCCCTCATTTGTCGTGATTATACCTCTTATTTGTCAAGACTATATCCCTCATTTGTCGTGATTATACCTCTTATTTGTCACGATTATACCTCTCATTCGTCAAGATAATACCTCTCATGTGTCTTGATTATACCTCTCATGGGTCTTGATTATACCTCTCGTTTGTCAAGATCATACCTCTCATTTGCCATGATGATGCCTCTCATTTGTCACGATTATACCTCTCATTCGTCAAGACTATATCTCTCATTTGTCGCGATTATAGCTCTTATTTGTCACTCTCATTCGTCAAGAATATATCTCTCATTTGTCACGATTATACCTCTTATTTCTCACGGTTATACCTCTCATTCGTCAAGATAATTCCTCTCATGTGTCTTGATTATACCTCTCATCGGTCTTGATTATACCTCTCGTTTGTCAAGATCATACCTCTCACGTGTCTTGTTTATACCTCTCATGTGTCTTGATTATACCTCTCGTTTGTCATGATTATACCTCTCATTCGTCAAGACCATATCTCTCATTTGTCACGATTATAGCTCTTATTTGTCACGATCATACCTCTCATTTGTCAAGACTATAACTCTCATTTGTCACGATTTTACCTCTTATTTGTCACGATCATACCTCTCATTCGTCAAGATTATTCCTCTCTTGTGTCTTGATTATACCTCTCATGGGTCTTGATTATACCTCTCGTTTGTCAAGATCTTACCTCTGATGTATCTTGATTATACCTCTCGTTTGTCATAATCATACCTCTCATTTGTCACGATTATAGCTCTTATTTATCACGATCATACCTCTTATTTGTCAAGACTATAACTCTCATTTGTCACGATTGTACCTCTTATTTGTCACGATCATACCTCTCATTCGTCAAGATTATACCTCTCTTGTGTCTTGATTATACCTCTCATGTGTCTTGATTATACCTCTCATGTGTCTTGATTATACCTATCGTGTGTCAAGATCTTACCTCTCATTTGTCACGATTATACCTCTCATTTGTCATGATTAGATCATACCTCTCATGTGTCTTGATTATACCTCTCATGTGTCTTGATTATATCTCTCGTTTGTCATGCTTATACCTCTCATTTGCCATGATGATACCTCTCATTTGTCACGGTTATACCTCTCATTCATCAAGACTTTATCTCATTTGTCAAGATCATACCTCTCATGTGTCTTGATTATACCTCTCATGGGTCTTGATTATACCTTTCGTTTGTCAAGATCATACCTCTCATTTGTCAAGATTATACCTCTCATTTGTCACGATTATACCTCTCATTTGTTACGATTATTCCTATCAATTGTCACGATTATACCTCTCATTTGTCATGATTAGATCATACCTCTCATTTGTCACGATTATACCTCTCATTTGTCACGATTATACACCTCATTTGTAACGATTATACCTCTCATTTGTCACGGGGGAGGTGGAGTAGCCTAGTGGTTAAAGCGTTCGCTCCTCACGCCGAAGACATGGGTACAATGTGTGAAGCCCATTTCTGGTGTCCCCCGCCGTGATATTGGTGGAATATTGCTAGAAGCGGCGTAAAACCATAATCACTCACTCATTTGTCACGATTATACCCCTCATTTGTAACGATTATACCTCTCCTTTGTCACGGGGGCGGTGGAGTAGCCTAGTGGTTAAAGCGTTCGCTCGTCACGCCGACGACATGGGTACAATGTGTGAAGCCCATTTCTGGTGTCCCCCGCCGTGATATTGGTGGAATATTGCTAAAAGCGGCGTAAAACCATAATCACTCACTCATCTGTCACGATTATACCCCTTATTTGTTACGATTATACCCTATCGTTTATCGTGATGATACCTCTCATTTACCCTGATTAGATCATTCCTCTCATTTGTCACGATTATACCTGAGTCAGCTCATTTGTCATGGCTATACCTCTCATTTGTCATGATGATACCTCTCATTTGCCATGCTTAGATCATTCCTCTCATTTGTCATGATTATACCATGATGATTTGCCATGATTAGATCATACCTCTCATTTGTCATGATTATACCGCTCATTTGTAAGAATAATACCTCTCATTTGTCAGGATTATAACGCTCATTTGTCAGAATAATACCTCTCATTTGTCAGGATCATAACTCTAATTTGTCATGATTATACTTCTGAATTGTCATGATTAAATATCTGATTTGACACGATTATACCTCTCATTTGTCATGATTATACCTATTATTTGTCGTGATTATACCTCTCATTTGTCATGATTATACCTATTATTTGTCGTGATTATACCTCTCATCTGTCAAACCCAATTTTCAATTCAGTTTATTTATATATAACTGTAAGGCCACACAGACCCATAGTACAGAATACATGACAATGTGGACACGGTTTAAAACGTTACAGGGATTCATTTCTTAATAACATTGCATGATATATAAATAGAGATAGATGTCGTATAGCCGGTTTGCTAACATGTGATATTAGGGAGTTAAACTTGTATTTATTATGTACAAAGTATGTTTTGGATTTAATAGTGTCAACCTGAAGCAGTAGCTTGATCGTGAGAGCTGCATCTTGGAATTTCTCTAAATATAATTTTAACAAGTAGTGCTCTCTATTTAAATTTGTTTTATTTTCTGAGTAGTGATTTAATTAATTAGACAAGGGTAGAGTTGGCAACCATTTTTGGAGGGGCGTTTCTTTTAAAGTATGTGAGAACTCAATAAGAAAATCGCAGTGGCATATCTGCATTGTGTTCAGTCCAAACATAACCATACACAGATGAGGTAATTAAGATACGATGCCCGATTAGATTTACTCTGACGATCGTAGACTAACGATGCACTGTATCATTCCTTTGGAAATCTGGAATTTGGCATCATTGGTAATTTTAACCAGTTTTTGATAACTCTAATATGAGCGACCATGTACAATGGGCATATTCCACATTCACCGTAGACCATTACATTTGGAGTGCTAGGTTAAACCCGAGAAAGTTCATACTGGTATTTAAATTAATCTTTCAATAGTATTAATATTTCTGAACCCCCAAATTTTGACTCCATACATCAAAATTGGGCTTATTTTCTAAGCTTGTTAAGCTGCCTTGTCAACATGCATATACCACAACAATCTGTCCGTAAAATAGATAAAATAAAATATTTTTACCAACATTTAGAGGTTGCACGGTGTGAAACCGTTTTTCTCTTTTGAGATAATATGGATTGCTCAGATTGAATTTGTTAGCTGTCGTTTCATTAATAATATATGGCACAGTTCAACAACAGTTACAGAGAGAATTCGTATTACATCAGTATAGGAGAAATATCATTATTGATCTATCATGTTGCATGGAATCGTGTAAAAAGACTTTATTTTTGCAAATGTCATTTAAACAGTTAAGCCTTCCATTAGGTTTAAATGTCTTTCCAACAGTTTGACAGAGTAGCCTTCAAGGATAATCAAGATAATCGTTTAGCTGTTATGTCTATTGACGGTAGAAGGGTAACTGCTTAATATGTACACTAGTAAGTACCAATGGGAAACAGATATAATCAGTATATTACACGATATATTACAACATAGGGACACAAGCTTGAGTGTGCGCTTCATATATTCTTCCGACGAAAACCTGTTAATTGAGTAGGTATAGAAGACCAGTGAAAATAATTATATTTACTCATATATTTCCAGTCTCATCGCGGTTGGAAGATGGCCACCCTCAAGATGACGAGGACGCTTTAAAGATTACGAAGTGGTGGCAAGCGTCATCCCTTTTGAAGTGGTAGGTAAAGGGCGAAACACTAGCGGCAATCAACGTTTATATTATTCTGTAGAAGGATACAATTCGAGGTCCCTTGCCGAATAGGGAACGCATTCGTGCATGCTGTGTTATTCTGCATCCATGTATCAATTGACTAAACCTTACACAATGTTACCAGTCATTGTTTACAGGTAGGAAATGGGGGTGAAACGTCACGTGTTAGGTAGGGAGATTACATTACATTTCAAGGTTTTACGTTTGTGGTGAAAGAATTGTGATTTTCGGTTAGACAACTACACACAAGGTTTATAATAAATAGGATATCCCATGTTCCCCTACTAGGGAAAAGAGATATTTCCTGTGTTTTGTGTTCTTTGTGTGAGCATCATTTAAGAATATGAACATTCCTGACGTTAATACGTTTTAATGTCTAGTTCATTGCATATGTAAAACAACAACCTTGATGTGCTTAAATGTGATTTCTCCACATGTACAGTTTTAGAACATGGTTAGTGGATGTAAACAGTTTTTCAGTGCATATGTAAAATGTGTCATGCGTGTGTGAATGGTTATTCTGATCAGGAGCTCTGGTCACGTGAAAATCAGTCCATAGCATAAATCGTGTATAAATGTTTTATAATAAAACAAGCTTGTATTATGTTTCTTGAAGTTCATATAAATATATAATATAGGGTTTGTAACTATTAGCTCACTCTCTCATTTACTCTAATTGGAAGATGAATTGTACTACCTTCCTACAGTATTATATGTAACAGATGTGTATGGTGGCATTTAGAGGTAATGTACCTCCTATATACAGGGACTGGGAGAAACCCCCGGAGTACATGTGCAGTGAGATTGAGACGAGGGGCAACTGGCACGTATGTAACGACACAACCTTTGAGGTCAAGCCACCATGTCTAGTCTACTCCTTTGGGTCAGTAGAAACATATTAATATGAAAACAATTTTCTAATTATAAGCCTCAACCTGACGTACTTGTTAGTCGACTCCAGATCGTGCTTATTCCGTAAGACATATGGATAAATGTACTCATTTGTGCATGCATATACAAAAATGTTTTTGATTATTTAGTGCATATTGACTCCACCAGGATGCCTCTTCAGGAAAAAAACAGTAGATACATGTAGCTATGGTATAATTCGTAACAATACTTATACATATTTCATTAAGAACCAGGAGCGGTCGGGTAGCCTTGTGGTTAAAGCGTTCGCTCCTCACGCCGAAGACCCGGGTTCGATTCCCGACATGGGAACAATATGTGAAGCCCATTTCTGGTGTCCCCCGCCGTGATATTGGTGGAATATTGCTAAAAGTGGCGTAAAACCATACTCACTCAATCACTCATTCACTCACTCATTAAGAACCAGCTCCATTTCATAGGCACGACATCCAAATATACATTTATGGTAATATGGTAACTAGTAAGTGCTGTAAATCTTTGTAGGATTTCAAATGACTGGTCCTTTGATGATGCAATGGGAGCTATTGGCTGTGAAGTTCATTCTTTTGACCCAAGGTAAGAATAATAGAATACACTGTCTGTGAAACCGTGCTACCTCCATGTCAGAATGTCAATGTATTATCATAGTTTACAAACGACTTAAATTATAGAATCGAAATGATTGAACTAACAAGGTTTGACTGTATAGTGTTAACAACAAATAAAACATATAAAACAAATGTTTTTATGTCAACATGGAAAGAGCAAGTTTTGTTTGAAAGCAATGTCTCTGCAAGAACTAAACAAGAAGCGAACAACACAATTTTCTCCTTGATCCCGATCGGGGGAACGTTTAATTCGTTTGGAACAGAAGTTTTTAAAGTGTGGTTCTACAATATACACTAACAAAGGTTTCAAAAGTCAGCTGACAACCCAACTTACTCAATGCACATATTTTATATCACTTTAAGTAATTCTTCTTACTTTCTAAACTACCTTCAAATGCCAATCACTCAATAAAGCGTGATAGGGTTAGAATGTCTTACAGTTCAATGAGAAACTATTTGTTTAGCATTGGAAAAAAGTCCTTCAACAGAAGCAAGAACGTCCACTTCCATGACCTGGGCCTCTCAGGGAAGGATAGTGATACGTATGTTCCTACTAAGGATGCATACGTCACAAAGACAACAACGTGGAAGATCAGACGCCTCAAGACTATCATGGAGATGCTTGGACATACAAATGTACGTACACGAAAAAACAAAACAATTGACAGTAACAATGTTGATGAATGATCTAGGGGAGGTAACTGATCACCGGCCGTGCTACGAGATGTAAATACGGCCAGGCCGCAACATGTCTATATGAAGGTTTGAGCCTAGTACATATATATCATTAGCTGAGTGTGTTTTATCATTTTATAAACTATATATTAAGAATACAGAGAAATTGTCACCTGGTTGTAAAACCAAACCCGTCACGGTCCGGTGACCGTAGCGCCTCCAACTCACCGCTGTCGGGCGTTCTGGAAAATCCGGCATTGTTCGGTGTGTTTTTATTCATTAGCGTTAGAGGCTTCATTGCCCATAAATTTATTTTTTAGCAGTTTAATCGCATGTTTGTATAATGTATTGATTTGATATTTGTAGTCTCATATATGTATGCAAGCTTATTCATGTGTAGAAAGTGTTAAGTAACTTTGATATTCGCGCGGTAGCGGAGATATTTCTCATACATTTGTGGTCATTTTTGCCAACTCGCCAATTATACATAATTGTTTGAAAATGTAACATACTAATGGCAATGACAGCCGTGGGCAAAGTCAGGGTCTTATCGGTCTAAGTAGCGGTCAGTTTGCCTAAGCCAGTGGCCAGAGTGGAAGTCAGAATGTTAGCACGGCTAGTTCGTCTGCTGGTAGTGGTAGCCAAGGTGTTACTTCCAGGGTGCCTTAACCTAGGTACAGTTATTGTGGCATTTCTTATCACTTAGTCGCAAATTGTTTTAAAGGGAAAAGGTATAATCAGTCGGCAATAGGTTTCGTTCAGACTGCAACAGGCTTGGAAGGTAGATCAGTCCAGGTGGTTGCTATGTGCATAGTGGTACTGTGTCAGATGTGTTCAGTAGGAATCAGCCAGGCGAGGTGTCAGTGTATCGGGTCACGAGAGCTTGGCAATCTCTGTCGTCGCCTCGACCGGTGACTTCGCAAGTAGAAGTAGTAGTAGAAGAAGAATATGGTAATTTCTCTCACCGTGGTGACATAAATATGGTGACAAGAGAGACATATATACAAAGAAATGAGACAATAGTTAGTGGTATACCCTCTGCTCAAAGTCTGTCATGATAGCAAGTTTGTTACAGGTGAAGTCATTGTCGGTGTCACGGACTTATTGCCAATCTCAGGTGTTGATGTCTTGTTAGGCAATGACTTGGTGAAGTCTTTGAATGTCATTTAGAAACGATACTCATAAGGAAGATAATGTATTATAATTAATTGTTCAATTAACACCGACAAAGATCCAACCAATAAGTCCCAACCACAAGGCAGACACGTGCCCTGGTCACGGTTCGTGGCTGGCTGGTGTCTCCTGATGTCCATGGCTTCTTGTAGTTTTCTTTGTCACACATCTGTCGACAAACTCAAACTGAAATCCGCCATTTCCGAACACATCCTGAAGATCCAAGACCATAACATCATGTGGGAAGACACCAAAGTTATGTCTACCAACCACAACAACTGGCGACAAAGAAAACTACAAGATAGTGTATGGTTTCTGGCCGAATAGAGAGGTCGTTGTCACAACTGCTTATTTCGCTTGATTTCATCTAGGCCATTTGTATTAGTGACAAAGTCAAGTTGTAATTTGATGCTAACATTTATGCGTAATTCGGGGATGTATGTATCGCAGCAAGTGCGAAACATATGTGATATTATAGGCGTCTCATAACCAGCACACGTGACGACGTGATTTTATAAAAACTATCTAATATGGCAGAAAGTTTACTTCGGCTTTCATGTTCGTGTATTTTCTAAAACACGATGAACGATTCTAGGGAAACGCTGACCTTTCAGAATGATTATTGGTGAGTTGATAAATGACTACGAATGATATCATAGAAAGGGAACTTCCTGCAGAATTCAAAACCGTAAAGGATATAAGTGCGCGCGACGTTATGTCACTCAATGAAGGTACTCTAGAAACCGTGCATTAATACCGCGCATGAGTTTGAGTGAACTATCTTATTTATCAAATACAGGTTGTTCCAAATGACATGGGGGCGGTCGGGTAGCCTAGTTGTTAAAGCGTTAGCTCGTCACGCCGAAGACCCGGGTACGATTCCCGACATGGGTACAATGTGGCAAGCCCATTTCTGGTGTCCCCCGCCGTGATATTGGTGGAATATTGCTAAAAGCGGCGTTAAACCATACTCACTCACCCAAATGACATGCAGCTAAGTTTGTCTATCGAATCCCCCACACATCACGAAATCCTGGTAATGTATTAAGTATACATTGTATCAGTGTATGGAGCTAACAATGAGTTTCTGCTGGGTGAAATACTTAAACTCATCGGATCGTGATACCAAGTTGATCAAGTTTGTGTTTCACATCGAAAGTACTGTCGATCATATGAGAGTTGTAAGTAATGAAAAAAATGTCCTTGTAACCAGGTATTGTTATTCACAGGTAGTTTGTTACGAATGGAAATATTGGCATTGTTTTATGAAACGTCCTTATATTTTCCAGCGACATATCGATGTTTTAAAGATAGACATTGAAACAAGCGAATGGCCGGCAGTGAAGGACATGGCGGCATCTGGAATGTTCTCCAAAGTCAGACAATTTTCTGTAGAGTGGCATCTGTTTCCAACATATCCAAGTAGATCGGAATACGTAGGCATTTATGTAGGTGTCATGGCCATGAAGAAGCAAGGATTACGCACGTTTAGATACAGTTTTCACCAAAGAGACTTCCGAGAAAAGACCTTCCGTTTGCAGGCAGATGTTAACTACGTAAATCCCTTATATAAAAGCATTTGAAGGTCACAAACAGTTGCCAAAACGAGAGTTCTACCTCATTTCCGGGCAGTGCTAACCATGTGGGCGACATGTTCCTTCCGGCGATATCGACCCTGCTACGCTGATGACGTCACAGGGGAATCGCGCATAAACGGTAGCCAGCTTCCCGTATATATATATTGGCTACAATATTATATCTGACTATGACTTACACACTTTAAATATGAAAAAGACACTATATGTGAATAAATCTTAATTCGACATCCTAATACAATGTCTATCTACATTGAGGAAGGCAACTGTCCTATCCTTTGTCTCTCTTTACAAAGCATTTATTTATGAAATGGTCATGGTAAAGGGATGAAAAAGATATGTAGCATGAGCTGAACGAACCAGATCTGAAGGAGCTGTGGGATCAGGAGCTTAATGAGTTAGAGCTGTCGGAGCCCAAGAAGCCATAGGCATTACAGGAAGTGAGCTGGAACACTCGTTAACTACTGTCACAACACTACCATATATACATCTTCATTTTGCTAGAGCTTTCTGAGAAATAGGTCAAACGTTTCAGGTTTTAATTTTTTTTATCGTATTAAGGAAATTACCATTTTCCAATCTTAACAATTTGCAGCATTGAACGATGTTTATGAAAACATATTTTTTTGGAATTAATAATAAAGACTTCTTATTCTCTTACATTGACGTTTAATATTCCCTTTTCAAATGATTCCTGTTGGTAAGATTCCTGAATAAGTTATTATATTAAATGTACAGCTGTATTTATTGCTTGATATCAACTGTTGAGGGTGTGTATTTATACTGAGATTAAATATATCTTCTCCTTGGTGAGGATTTATTCTTATTATTTGAAATGAATATGATATTGTCTTACTTGCAGTCAACAATATTCAAGTTTCAAGGCGGATCAAACTGACTGGCAGAGCAGTTGATGCTGCCACTTACGGCAAGTATATATGTTAATGTGGGCCAGTTCTGCCCTAGAATACCCATGGGTCTTGTTACTCCTAAGTCATACGTTATAACCTAAATCAAGTTGTTTAATCTTCAGTCACTTTGTTATCGGAATGGGTGTTTCCCTTCCGTCCGTTATGGATCATATTTGTTTTTAAAATCGTGGCTTACACACTTTTGCCACATAAAGGATGGGATGCCAGCCTAACTACATGTAAAGGACAAGGTTTGAAAAGAGCACGTTCTGGTCAAAATTTAAACCTATATAATTAGAAATCATTATGGAACATATCATGCGTTCATATGAAAGAGAGCTGTACTTTGTTCATTAAACTTTAATACACGTGCATGTTTTGTATGAGTAATGCTAACATGTGTTGAAAAGGGCGATTTTATTGGTTTTCTGGAAGAGTTGTTTTTTATGTGAACATATATTCGACTCCAGCCTTTACCAAAAGTGAACTTGTTCATCCTTGGAGACACGAACGGCCCAGTTGCAAAGTTACACCCTTTGGGCACGCCAATAACCCATGATCATGGGTTCGAATCCTGGGTTTCTGGGTTTACCAACACCATACCAGCATCTGGGTAACTCGGCTCCATGACACTGCTTCTGATCAATTATTTTCTATTATATGAAACAAAAAAACTTGAGATTTTTGAAAAACAATTCTGCCAGATATTCTGCAGAAATACATTTTCTGGCATATGTTTCAGCAGAAATGTTGCAATTGGTGGTTTACCCCAGCCGTGGGAATGCAATAGCATGTTGAGGTGACAAAGGTGTGTTTCCTAACCTGGGCAAAACCAAACTAACCAACTAATTGCTAAACCATTATGGAAGATGAAAATACCAAATAGAGAGCTGAACATAAGCTGTACAACGATACCACTAACGATTTACAACCAGATATGTACAATTATTGAGGTGGCAATAATAGCCATAAATACATGAGAAACATCTACCAGTTCTAGATAATCCCGCTACTCCGCGAAAATCAATGCTAAAAACATTTTCCATACATGAACATAGGTAGCAAACATATTGGAGACATAACATATATCAAATCTATACATGATAGAATTATGCGACTAAACCGCTAGAGAATAAAATATACGGGTCACCAATTCTCTGACAATGAACGATGAGTACGGCGACCGTCGGACTTTGCCGAACGGTGACGACGCAGGGCAAGTAAGAGAGAGGGAAACGACGCGGTCACGAGACCGTAACTAGACTGGTTTTAGGACGCGGTGATACTCACTCACGTATAACACCTTCCATAAACATAAGCGTAACGATCGCTTTTGACGTAACGTGTTGCTAAATGTTTCCAACATTCGACTGTCTCTCAAACACTTTCATAATATTCAAACCCACAGATTAAACGGATGATGGCCACTCTGCATAGATCTATGGAACGAAATCGTTATATGCAAACAAACAGTGCGGATTTTCAATGCGGTTTGGAATCTTAAATTTTAACAATTACTGATTGAATATTAGTACGACTTCCTTGATGCTTTGCAAGTATGACAAGGTTCTGTAACATATATTCCTTTTGTTCCGTGAAGATCAGGGTTCGAATTGGTCTGCAGAATCCATGTTTTACGTAAGCGGCAACTAACGGGATCGGCTGGTCAGGCTCACTGACCTGGTTGATGTATGTTATCGTATCCCAGTTTCGTAGTATGATGCTCATGATATCAATCACTGGATTGTCAGACCCACCTAGATTGTTACTGCTGAGTACGGAGTTAAAAGAACAAACAAGCAGAATCAAATATACAAAATGCCAGAGTGTAATAGCTCGATAATCCGCTCAAACTGATTCCATTAGCCGTAAAAGGCAAAATATCGGTGGATTCATATGAGTGGACAACTGAAAATTAGTGATGACACTAGCTAGGTATTCGCGAAAGGCGTAAGCATGTCCTGACCTATCGATAACACCCTCCAGTCACACAATTTGCAACACATCCTCCTAGATGCTACCATATGTCTACATTGTCCATATGTAAGCAGAAAGCAAACAGACCATAACCACTGTATCAACGTCTTACCGTGTGCACAACTAAATGGCTTTCATACGCCCCTACACCATGGGAGTTACATGAAACACATTAATTGATATGTTGCCAAGTAACAATCTGTTACCCTGATAAATGGGACGTTCCCTTCCCGTGACATGTTGTAGAGGCCGTGTGTGAGTGAGTTGGGTTTAACGCCGCTTTGAACTGTATTCCAGTTATATCACGGCGTGTCAGCTTAATGTGGGAGGAAAGCCCGAAGTGATGCAGATCTCAGACGTTTACTACTTCGGTGAAACCCAAGAGCCCAATGGGTATGGTGCTGACAAACCTAGAAACATAATCGGAGTGAACCGGGATTAGAACCCACAATCATAGGTTTCTGGCGTGCCCAAGGGTCGCAACTCTGCACAGCAAATCGTAGACGACTGGGCTACCCCCTTTGTAGAGGCCCCCTTTATAGAGGCGGTGGGGCACGCGTAGATGGGCTGAATATGAACGTCAATACCACAGAAAAGACTCAGATGAACATACAAAGCTCAACAAAAGATGTTAGAATTCTTGTCTGCAAGCTGGAACCATTCGTCAATATCCCATGTATAAAATGTCTGTGAATGAGTATAGTTTTACGCTGCTTTTAGCAATATTTCAGCAATATTACGGCGGGGGACACCAGAAATGGGCTTCACACGTTGTGCCCATGTGGGGAATCGAACCCGGGTTTACAGCGTGACCAGTGAACGCTTTAACCACTAGGCTACCCCATCGCCCCATAAAATGTATGCATGTAGAACGCATTAATAGAGAGTATTGGTATCTGGAAAGGTTTCTGCACACGACGTAGAAACTGGCATCCCAATAATGCACACGCACTTGTTTAATTTTTTAAAGTTTGCTTGTGTTTTTTTGGGAACATGCACTTTTAACGCCTATTATCAACCCAACATATACGCACACGTTAGGAAAGGTACCATATATAATCAAATCATCTCTATGTAGAAATAAAATAGAAACTATATAATCTATAAACATGATAACACACAGCAAAAAAACATAACGCATTATACTCATATCAGACATGTAAACGGATTTTAGCGTGACAAAATAATGCTTCAGCCACCACCTCACACATTCTCGAAACACTACTTGGATCCTATCTAGAGAAAACAAACATTGATATTATTTACCGGACCCATATATACAGCTTAATAAACAAGGCTTCCCATCTAAAGCATGATCATTATCGTCCTAGTATCATGATCACACAATTTAGGTTTCCTGTTTCCCGAATTGTGCACATAGGTACAATTTTATGTGATTAATTGTCACTCTTGGTAATCTATTCATTTGAATGCAAAAAAGACAAATCTTGAGCGATGTATTTGATAAAGGTAGCTAGGTCATCGGTGACCAAATATACAACAGAAGGGTACATCAAGGTGAAGGAAGCTACTTGGACGCTCTGAAGACATTTGATAAACGTAACACATTAATTACAAACTAGATATTTACCCTGTCTTATTGACCGCCTGTCTGATTGTAATACCCGGTGTAGTGCATGAAAACTGTGTTTGAATGAACAAGTTCTTCACAATAACACTGATATATGTTACACAGAGAGTGATTCCTATTTAATAGTTGGTTTTTATTCTCATAACGTGGGAACTGAAGTATATTAGTCTAAGGCAAATGCGTTTATAATTGCCAGTCTGGTGGTAGTAATTAACTTCATATTGTTATTAAAGTTAAGTGCGTGGCCACACTAATTAGGATGTCTCTCCATATGTGTTTTTTATACTCAAGTACGTATCAACTGTGATAAAACCGTGGTCACTGTGGTACGTATCAAACCTGTATATGAAAGTACATATTACGTATAGATTTGTACAAGACAAGAGATAAAAAGCAAGTCGATATTAAATCGTGTATTCATGTCAAAAAGTACATTTGAGGACAACATTGTTATGGCAGGAATATTTTACAAACTGTTGTTTATCATCAATCATTACATGCAATACAATCACAGTGCAGCAACATATAATATAAGGAGTACTGTCGTGGCCCCACACGTTGACGGCGTGACAGTTCCATAAAATACCGATATAATTGTCATCAGCGGATTAGTCGCAACTTATCAGCAGATCAATCGCGAATTATTTGCAACTTCTCTGTTGAATATCATTATACTGCAGAAGACGATCACAAACATTTGCCTTGACGTGTACGGTATACTACAGTATCTAAACATGTCATTGTGTAATGTTGTGAGGTAATTTCTGTTGAAACATCTCAAATATGGTCTTGATAACATATAAATGGTGTTTTTTTCAAATAATCCAACGATATTTAAATTCAGTGTGTACATGCATGACTAGAGTTTACATTTCGACATGACCTAGTAACACATGCAGTTTACAACAACATATATGTAACCTTCAGGACCGAATTGATGCATCAATGTTTCATGGTGGCTAATGATGAAACAAACAAGAAATTGTTATTCGATGGTGATGTATTTCATATGGGTATCATAGGCAACATTACGTGCATCATATACATGACTATCTCACAGTTATCGTGCGCAGGACGTCTCAATGAATGGGGTGGTGTGTGTTGTGTGTGTGTGGGGGGGGGGTCACATTATACAGTAATGACCAAAGAGAAGCAGGTATTGTCACGATCAGCGTGAGTTGGTTCACAGATACCAGACATTACCGATAGTGAATTTGACCACCACCGACACCAATGCACGCGCCCAGATACGCCGTCTCATCGTTCTTGTCAGGCTCCTGATGATGTCTTATGGAATCAGTTGTCTGTCGTACCTTTGTGCGGCTTTCAGAAAATCCAGGGTTTAAGTCTGATGCGTAAGAGGCTGACCATAGAAGAATGGTGAGATTGTACGCTTTCAAAAAATCCTGGATGATAAACCAGAGTACGACCATAATTACGGAATAAGCAGAATCTTCATTCGTCAGAATGATGGTCTCTCTGTCAGTCACGGATCTGCGGGCGTTCTTCTGTCCTTGCCCACGTTGATGTTCATCGGTGGAGGCCATTCCACGGTAGGGGCGGCAATCTCGAATACCTGCGACACGAAGCCCCGGTAGTACAGTGAGTCGACTGATGCTGCGTTCGAACGATGTTGCTGCCGTTTCCATCCATGAGGCGAACCTGTTGTACAAATGCAAAGTGCACGAGTACCGGTCATCCTGTAGCGTCCTTACGTGTTGTTTGCCTGATCTTATAATGTGTGCTACCAATATGTCTGTAACGTTTAAACACTCTGATGAAGGTTGCACTGTACAGTTGAAGTCTCTTGAAATCTGGGTGTGGTTTGCACCCATTTGCCTCATTCGTGCAGCCCTGTCTTTGTTGTGCAGTTAAATGCGGCATATGTTAAGTGCCTTTTCATTAGCCGTGATCTTTCATCTTCCCGAGGCAAGAGAGTTAACTGACTTTATAAGTCCAGTTTCCACCCTTGCCGAACTAGGCTAGAATTCCTGGGCTCGATCCTAGCGCCACCAGTGGTAATTACGAGTTATGTCCCTTCTAAGCCTCTCCTATGGACCAATCAAATTCCACCTCTCGAATCACTTGCATTTGTTTCAAACAAAATGGCGGCGCCCAGTCAAGACGATCTGATTAATAATAAAGATCTATATTGTGACAAACGGGTCTAACAGAGCGAAGTGCATCAAATCACGTGAGCGCCTTGATTAAAGACATGATCAGATTTGGAAAATATCTGTTGACAACGAGTTGGCGGTGCACATGCTTTGCAAATCCTGCAATCGACCAAAATCTGCACAACAGTTTACTTACCGGATTTAGATTGTGGTACATGATTTTGATTGGACTATGCATAGACTCGTTAGTCCAGCCAAAATGTAAGTCCATAATACCAGCCTAGTTTGGCAAGGGTGGAAAATGGACTTTTATAGTCAGTTAACTCACTTGCCTCGGGAAGATGCGATCTTTTGGCAACGGTCCATTGAATTTAATACCATCTCTGCACGTGCATTTTTACGGAAACACGAAAAAAGGATTTTGGCGACTTTTCACTGCTGCAAGTGTATCTTCAAAACCAACGGGTTGTGTTTTGGACCTTTTGGACGACGTAATTATATATTTAAAACTAAACCATGTTCACTACATATACCTGTACAGTACAGTTACCACAAAGCTGAGACAGTACTACAATATTATTGATAAAACAACCAACCACTGAGTCGACGCATGCTCAAACAGGTGTTGCATCTGAATTGCAAAGCGTTGTCACAGGGTTTGATGGCGCACGCAATAACCATGGCTCCTTGGACTAGGACGGTGGCCACAGTGCTTGTAGCTGCCGCACTGATTGTAGCAGTAGTTCTCTATACTGCACGGGATCAAACTGGATACACGAACAACCAAATCAGTGAAATGATTTCAAGTGAAGGTGACACATATGTCATATCGCCAAACCTATTGCTGTGCTGGAACATTGTGACAGTCGTGCTTTAATCTCTCATTTGTTACCACGAGCGGTTTTTACAAAATGCGGCTGACCTTCATATGAATGGGATGTTCTGTCAACTAGCTAACGCTTGTTCCACTCTATCAGTAAGTTTCAATTCGGATCTCAAAAGCGATCACCCATATACATGTCAAATATCATACGCTTCAGATTTTACCAAATGTTTGTATTTTTAGTGATATGAGCGTCATACTCTTCATACATTTATTCCTCGCTGTTTCCTAAATGTGATAACTCTTTCGTGTGGGTGATAAATGGAATAATTTGAAATTGTACCATTACATCAGAACATCTTTTTATCGAATATATAACTCTTCAAAGATATGTTTTAGGTTAGTCAGCACCTATGTTCACATGCTCGTTGAGTTTCACCAAAATGGTAAACGTCTTATATAAAACGTCAAATGAACAATCAGTCTCGATTATCTTCTAAAACAGATTCCATTTGGCGTAAAATACAACATAGCAGTTCAAATTATTTGAATGGATCACTGAGAATGAAGACCACAGTAATGCTACCGAAAAGGGTAAGCATGTCATGCAGTACCGGTATGACCCGTCATTCATGCAATGTGCATTAAAAATATGTGTTTGCTGCAAACGCCGCTCAGCAGTACTCCTGCCATACGACGGTGGGCTGAACATTGGAGTCTTGACCAGACCATAAAGTGACAGGATAGTACTGCTTTTCTTGAAATTAAAAACGATATGCCAATATTGAATAAGATATGTTACATAGATGCAGAGATGCTGCTTAAACACTCACTATATATATATATATATATATATATATATATATATATATATATATATATATATTGTCAATAAGACCTGCACCACTTTGGACTTTCCTCCCACATCAAACTGACACGCTGTTACACACAACTCAAGGTCTACTTGTAGGCATTTTGTGCCACCGGTGGGGCAAATTACGCTGACCTTTTCGCGAACACCTGGTATCATCACTATTTGATTGTTATTCATAAATTACCGCCATCGTGGAATATGGCAGGAGTGGAGTGCGGCGTTAAGACAAAATGTGATAATAAATACATGCTCCTGGTATAGAATATAATGGTACAATATTCTTTTAGCAGAGATTTCTTATGATTATGGAAATGTTTTATGCTTTAATCTAGAGAAAGATAAACTTATTATCATAAATTATCATGTTATTGAAATATAACAGCTTTTTTATCCAAATCATAAGCTGGTACGTGGCTGACAAACGAGCGTTGCATAAATGTACTTAATAATACCAGGAAACGATTATATTGGGCATTTGTTGATTTTACAAAGCTAATTGAGTTATTATTGTCGCTCTGTGTAGTTTAAACAGGTCATTTGTAGCATATTCAATGGCACAAGTCTTAAGAACTATTGTATCAAAATATACACTTGCCGAACATCTGTTGAATATCTGCTGAAACTGTCTGGAAATCGATTGACTATGCATAATGTCATAGATCTTTGGGGTTTAGTTTGTTCAAAACCATCTGGTGTGCATGCTCATATAATACATTTTATTACTTGCCCGTGAAGAGATCGCCCGTTTAATTAACACAGCTGTATTACACATTGTGTCATACCAAAACGCGTGCTTTTGTACTCTCGGAAAACGTTTCACGAACAAATATTGAAAGCTCTCAATATCCCTTGGCTTATTCAACGACATTGCGTGTGGAGTTGATAGATCACTGAGAGGAGCTTATGCACATTCGATGACCCCAGCAGCCTTCTTGCTAAGCTGACGTCACATTGCATTGTTTCGCCGATGGATCTTGCAACAAAATTCCACAAATTACGTCATCGGGTATTGTGACGTTATTGTAAACTTTGAGGTGGAAGGCCCGTTCCAAAAGGCGATCGTATTGAAGCGCAACGACAGTCGTTAGTCTGTTAAAGTATGTGAGTTGCGATAGTCTTAGCCCTACGATATTTTGTGAATTCTAAAGGTGGACCGTTGTATGGTATTAAATTCATACGTTTCAACTTTTGACGTGTTTGAAGTATTATTCTGTTAAACTCAATTGGACTATGCCGTGGATCGTGTAGGTGTCAGCCTATTCATACTCAACAGTATAATTCGTTATAAAAACGTTATAAATGGCAAGTAATATATAAAATACTAAACTCGCTCCCGTGTAAAACCATTTTATGAAACTCATGAATAGGTGTGGTATCTGACTCTCTTTCGCTCGTCAGATACTACAACTATTCACTCGTTTCATAAAATTGGTATTACACGGGAGCTCGTTTAGTATTCTATATTAATTAAACTGGGCGGCAGAATTAAGTATAGGTCGAGTTCCATGATCGATGAAAAAATAACAAGAAGAGGTTTTGTAGTGAATTATAATATAATCTAGGTTGGGTTAACAATGATTGATCAACCACAGTTTGAATGAAATTGTGCTATCACAGGTAATGTAAGCTCAAGGTAAAAAATGGTGGGGTAAGAAATTTCATTATCAAAAGTTGTCTGAAATGTCACCAAAAAATTGTCAGACACACTACAAGTTCATTGTCGACATAGTTGCCTTCAATAGAGTGTATGACCTCCAGATACCTCAATGCATGCTGTAATACGCCGCCTCATCGATGACGTCAGTCTTCTGATGACGTGAACTGGAATCCGTTGCCACTCGTCTCTCAGGGCCTGCTGCAATTCTTGTCTGTTGACGGGAGGCTGATGGCGTGCTCTAATCTGTCTGTCAAGATGGTCCCACAGGTGTTCAATAGGATTCATATCGGGTGAGTGGGCAGGCCAGGGCAAAACGTCAACGTTCTGCTGGTTAAGAAAGCTCCGACTCAGTCTTGCAGTATTGGGCCTGGCATTGTCGTGTTGAAACAATGTCCCCTGCTGTTGGTTTTGTAAGAACGGAAGCACAACTGGCTGCAACACTTGGGGCGGTATTCATAAACATTCTTAGAGTGCTAAAGAGGTCTTAAGTCTGAGAAAATTCTTAGAAATACCAAAAGTTACTCTTAAATCTAAGAATTTTCTTAAGTCATATTCATAAAAACTTTTAGCACTAAGAGTACTCCTAAAGTTAAGAGTACTCAAGAGGGCTTTTAGCTACCTAAGAATTTTCTTAAGTATCCAATATGGCGGCAGCTGGGGCACCCCAGCCGCATCAGCTGAGAACTTTCAGGCCAAGGAAAAACATTTTCAGTGTGTATTCAGACACGGAACTTATCCAGCGGTTTCGTCTTGACTGTGCAGGTATATTATTTGTCACAAATTTAATCAGGGATAGGCTTACCTCCCCTACACAAAGAAACAATGCTATCACCCCGGAGATGAAAATAGCTGTCATGCTGCGTTATCTTGCAACTGGGAAAATGCAACTGTGTAACGCCGATGATCTTGGGTTAAGTCAGCCATCCATAAGCCGTATTGTCAGTGAAACAATTGATGCATTGTCAACACCGGCTATTGTCCGACAATTTGTCAAATTACCTGTACAACGAACAGACATCCAACGTAATCAAGCAGCGTTCATGGCAATTGCTGGCTTTCCTGGCGTATTTGGTGTAATTGACGGCACCCATGTCCGCATAATTGCCCCGAGTGTCGATGAGCCGGAGTACGTTTGTAGGAAACATTTCCACAGCATTAATGTGCAAATAGTATTTGATGCTCACTACAACATACTTGACATCGTTGCCAAGTGGCCAGGATCTACGCACGATGCAAGAATTTTAAATGAGAGCGGTGTCCGAACCGCATTCGAACAACATTTCGTCCCTCAAGGCTGCCATTTGCTCGGAGACAGCGGCTATCCGTCTCGAAGATGGCTGTTAACACCTTACCTTAGACCCCAACCCGGTCCACAAACTAGATACAACAGGTACGTGAAGTTGTTAACCCCACCGACGAATTACTGTCTTTGCTTATAACAATAACATCAAAAGATTCCACGTTAACGGTTATAATAATTCGTTGCAGTTAGTCGTTTACAAATTTGTCACTCGTGCACTTGGTATTAGAGTGACTTCCCCTTGATATCAATACGTGAATTATTGTTTTGAAAATAATTAAATGTTAAGATTGTGTTTTTGGACGTAATTTTTTAAAAATTTATATGTATGCTGACATGCAAAGTATGCTGACATGCAAAGTATACTAACAGAAAATGTAAATATTAAAATTGAATATAGCATTTTTGTATTGTGGAAAAATCTGTAAATCTGTAAATAATTATTGTAAAACTCGTTTAGATCTAGATCTTGACATCATTATTTATGAAATATTTAGAAAATAATGAAAACATATTTTAAAATATTGTTTCAATTATTTATTGAAGTCAAGCTAATGTAGGAATTTTGTAAATGAAATATTTACAACAGAATGAAAAAACCCATTAAAATATTTACAATTATTTAAAAATGTAAATGTATTGTAGTTAAAGTAATTTAATATTGAATGATGTATATGTATGTTTGTTAAGACCAATACATAATCTGAATCTAAAAATGATGTAATTTAATTTCTAGAGCTCACAAACGCACCAGGTGTGTGGTCGAAAGGGGTATAGGACAACTGAAAAGAAGGTTTCATGTCCTACACAGCGAGGTCAGACTCAACCCAGTGAAGGTTTGCAAGGTGGTAATTGTGTGTGCCATCTTACACAATATATGCAAACAGAGGAACATCCTTTTGCCAGGTGGTGCTGGTGATGATGACAGAAACAGTGATGATGATGATGATGATGATGATGATAATAACAATCCTCCCAACCACTTGCCACAGGCTATGGGAGATGGTCGTTTGTTCAGGGAGAACTTCGCTAACATTCACTTTCAAAGTATGTGTGCATAATATATTTAGTTTATATATTTATTAGTAACTAATATAATTCTTTATTCTGAATTCTTATTATTCATTACCAATCTACCACCTTATCACCATTTGCTATTTGTCAGCTTGATATGATATGAACATGTCAAAATTGTTAATGCCAAATTATGCAAGCTTAATCATTCTTCATTTTGCTTTTGTAACATTTAAAACAAACTTGATCTATGGGAAAACAATTCTGTCAATGATGTTTCATACTTTTAAACCAAATTATAGAAAAAAAGAAAAAATATCTGATCTTCCTCCCATCACAACAATGTTTTACATACATTTTAAAAAAAAATGGTAAACATAATCTTGTTACTATTTTGCCACATGAAAAAAATATCTTTGTAAATAGAAGTACCATTTGTCATTTTTGTAATCTATTGTACAACAAGCAGACAGAATGGATGTAACCATTGCAGTATCTCTAAGGAGACTGACTTACGACTTGTAAATGTGTGACAAGAATAAAACGTTTAATAATAATGAACCATTTTCTGATATTTGATTATTATTAAATATTTCTGATATGTAAGTGTTTGGTACAAAGTTTTCATGAAAAAAGTATTGTTTTATGTCCTGTTAAAAAGTTTATTCTCAATTCACAGTTCAAGAACATAAATCTCATCAAGGTCTCCTTGTCTTCAGCAGGTTAGAGTTGGAGGCATGTTATAGGAGGCATGTTTAGCAGAGTTCATGAACATCGCACGTTTTTCAGGCTCCTGACACCATATGTGCGACCTCAACTCTCTATGTCACTCTACAACAGGTATGATGTTTCCCTTGTGAACACTGATGAATAGATGAAATTGCCCTTAACAATCATTATGATGAAATACCATTGATCAAAACAGTATTTTACCTACCAGATTACCACAGTTGGGAGCTTTGACGAATACTCACACATCTTTAGCCAAGCCTAAAATGGCCACGGTCCTCAACATCCCCTTTAAATTTTGATGGTTAGAGTAATTTCCCTTTTTCTCTGTTTCTACTAAAATCATACAGGACATTCCTCGAAATAAGATCCAAAATCATTTGTGTGTGAGGTTTAAGTAAAATAAAAACAACAACTGGAATGATGATGATATTTGTGTTATTTAACAAGAAAATATTACCAAGTAAATGTACAAGATGATAGTTGCATTTGAGTGGAAAACAAAAACTTTGCATTGTATTTGCTTTGACATGTGTTATATTTATATTTGTAAAGAAATTCACAAAATAATCACACGACACAGATTGTTCTCCTACAATTTTCAGCTTTATCTTCATAAAATCTTCAGAATATTCTCCGGAAGATAATGCTAAAACATGTTGGAGAACAATGCATGTCACATGATTATTGTGTGAATTCTTTACATATGTGCGACTGTACACTAGTGAATCTCACCACTTTGTAGTAGTATCTGGAAAATTATTCATGACAAAAGACAACATACATGTGCTACATTCAAACTTATCTTTGCCAATTATTATGTTCAATTTCAGAGTAGTATGAAATACTTTATCAATAAATTGCATGTCAATAAAATCACTATTTACAAACATACCTTTGATATATATATATATAGCAATCTTACCCATATTATAATGCAACAGGTTTGATTTAGGTTAACTGGTACAATCATTGAAAACTATTTTAACTCAATATATTTACATGAAAGATATCAAAACAATCAATTGTTAATGTTAATACTGTTGTTGAGATTATTGTTGTCAATCTTTTACTCAAAATTCCTGTTATTACTTCAATGTAAGACAGTTTTCTTATGAAATAACATCCAAATTACTTTCTAACCTATAATTATAGACTTTTGTGAAATAACTGAAATTACAGAACATTGCTAAACAAAACTTGATTATGTGAATTTCAGTGAATTAATCATTTAAATTCCTGTAAAGGCAACTGATATCTTGAATTAATTAAGCATAGAATGTGAAATAACTATTCAATTATAAGACTGATCTTTTCTCATCATCTCTAATTTTAGGGTTAGCATTTCTTTCTGAAGTTGCAGTACATCAATTTCTAGTAATGTCTTTTTTCTTAGAAGTTGTTGGTCATTTAAGTCTTCTTTTCTGGAGCAGGGGCCAGCTGAGGCTGAAGTACAGGTTGCTTGAGGTCTGGCCTGAACTCCATGTGGCAAGGCGCCACAAACTTCAGATTCCAAGCCAAGTATGGCTGCTTCCTGACAACTGAAAAGAAAATGTTTTACATAAATGTTTGAGCCATAAACCAGAACATAAATATCATAAGTTTTTTATCACTAAAGAAAATTTTTTTTACCTGTTTGACATATCCATGACCTGGAATAGGGTTGAATCAAAGCTCCCTTCAATTCCACTTATGCTCACATTTGTGTGTCCAAGAACATCGTAAACTGCCTCAGACACCACACTTAACTTGCTCGGACCAGGTCCCCCTCCTGCAATAAATACAAGGTTTTTAATGTTGATGTACTTCTTGATACAATAAATTAATGTGACACAATAGACATAACTCAATTTGTCTTACTAATATTGTATGAGTTGGTGAACATGTCAAATGTTATCCATAAATTATGTCTACTTTGGAATATGTATGATGTTTACTGCCTATACAGATATTAAAAAAAGATATTTCATACTGCATAAATTAATCATATACTAATCACATGCAAAGTAGTTCAACTTTTTGGTAATGATTCTCAGTATGAATGCTACATCTGTTTTCTTTAGGTAATTTTTAACTACTCCAGTTTGGTCTATTCTAATATCATGTTTGAGCTTCATAAGAAAATTAATATAATAATTTCTACATGCCTCTACTTTTTTCGCTTATGGTAAACTGAAATAAATCAACATTTTCTTTCCAAAGATTGTTACTTTGTCTATTTTTTACATGTATATATGTATCTTCCATAAAGAAATAACATGCAGATAGTATGGTGTAATGAGAACATTTTAACAGATCTAACTGTCAAGTGGAAAATATTGTTTATTTAAGTCAGTTAAGTTTTTCAGTAAATACAAAGGTCAATACAATATGTTATTATAATTGTCAAACGTTATTATTATTGTTATTATTATGATTATGATTATTATTATGAAATGTCATAAACATTTTTGAAGGCATATTTTATTTCACCTCCCCTAAAGAATCCATATTTGCCTTCACTTTTTTATGAAGACATTAATCTTCAATGAAGACATAAAGTAATTTATTAAACATGATTGAACAGTGTGCATTGTTTTTAAGCTGCTACCTATCTAAATATGAATTTTACATGAATTCTAATCAAAATGTTATTCTTTCTGAATAAAATAAAATAATACGAAATAATTTAGGCCCAAAGAGCACATTGTTTATAAACTGCTTATCGGATCATGGATTTTCGGACATGATACTTTTTCGGACGGCGTAACAGAAACATTGTAAATACTGTTTTTAAGATGTCTTCATTTTTAATTACTTACCGGTGCCACTGAGCTGTCTCTTGAAAGCTGATATCTCCTGCCTTGACTTCGACTGGATATTATACCATCTCTTTTCGCAGTCCTCTGTCGATCTGATCACATTTGGAAATGCAGCATTGATGTTTGCTGCCACCTCGACCCATGCCTCCTTCTTCATCCGCGACGTAACTCCTGGCCCAAACTTGCCCTTGATGATAGCCTTCCGCTCATCAACAAGTTGGACCAGGAGCAAGGTCTGGTCAGATGACCAATTCGGTTTGCGCTTCACTGCAATCATTTGTGCTGAATCCATCGCGCGAAGTGTTGACAGATGCACGTCTGCGTGTTTACATCACGTGACAGTCACGCGATACAAAATCATGCCTCTAAAACTGAAGAGTGCCCAGAATTCTAAATATAGCACAGGGATTCCCCTGGTTAAGACCGATGTCCGACCTAAGAGTTACTCTCAGAGTTTCACTTAACTCTAAAACTAAAAGTTACGCTCAGAGTCATTATGATTACACTCTTAAGTGTAACACTTAGCTAAGAATTTTCTTAGCGAGTTAAGAGTATTCTTAAGAAAATTCTAAGAATGTTTATGAATACCGCCCTTGGTCTCTGTACTACACAGTGTTCAGGTTTCCCTGTATAATCACCAAATCAGTCTTCTGATCTCCACAAATACCGCCCCACACCATGACACCTCCCTCGCTGAATGGATGGACCTCTCGTATACACGCCGGAGATAAACGTTCCCCTCTGCATCGATAAACTCGACTTTCATCAGTAAACAGCACTCGACGCCAATTTCTCACTTGCCAGCGTCGAACCTGCTTCGCCTATCGCAGTCTCAGGCGTCGATGTTGAGCAGTCAGTACCATTCCTCGGAAAGGACGATACGCTCGGATTCCAGCAGCAAGAAGTCGTCGTAGTACTGTACCTTGGCTAATAGGACGTCCCACCGCTGTTGCTGCCGTCGCCGTCGCCGTCGCCGTTACGAATCTGTTTCGCAGGTGAATGAGCCGTATCTGACCGTCTTCCAGTGGTGTTGTCACTCGGGGTCGTCCGGTTCTAGTCCTGTCCTGTGTCCTCCCTGTCTGCCTGTACCGTTGAATCAGCCTGGATACTGTCAATGGTGTACAACCAAACCTCCTGGCAATTTGGTACCTGTGTTGCCCCCATTTCGGCCATACCGATGGCTCTCTCTCTCTGTTCCTGTGACAGTCGTGGCATTTCTGTTTTGTGCTTTCATCACGTGTGGTTATACCCTGCAGACGAACGCATTTATACAGCTAACATGCACGTGCAGTTTATGACATTGACAGGAAACCTGTTTCACCATTTTTTGTCACCGCACGAGCGCCGTCAAAGGTGGCGCGTTCGGGTGATGTGTATTTTGGTACCTGTTCCTAGGCAGTCATATTACCAATACCCACTTTCCACTAGTTATCGCTGTTTTTAGGAAAATTACAAATTGCCAACCTATTCTTTCTTTTGCCGCTTCTTTTATGTGTATAGAGAGGAATTGGTGCATATTAGAATGTCATAATCATAAGCTGCCATGTCGACAGTTTTCTTTGGTTAAATCATTCATTCATATGTCTTCCTGGTTTAACGTGTTACTTTATGTATATTCCAGTATTAATTAAAATACTTCATGTGACACCAATATTTTAGTGTATTTTTCAAACAAGTAAAGTTTGGTTTTCAATATTGTAGTACATGTATGGAATCAAGTCACAAAAACGCAACTGCTACAGAAAAGCATGCATTCCATGCAAAAGTTGACTTTTATGCAAGCCGCATGCATTTCACCACCCAAAAATGGGTATAAAAACATGTGCGTTAACGGGATTCCATATGCAATGTTTAGCATCGTGCTGACAACCACCACTCAGAAAAACAACAAAATTACGCAATCATTAAACATTACGAAATGCCACGCCTTTCCGAAAATGAGCGTCTGCGAGCCTTTGGTATGCTTGAAGCAGGATCGAGTAAACGTGATGTTGCAAGACCATTTGGTGTTTATGGCAACGTTGGCAACAGACAGTCAGAGACCATCCTCGGAGTGGCAGGCCACGCGTAACCAATAATCGACAAGACAACTGGATTCGAGCAACACACCTACGAAATCCATTCCAGCCACCAACAGTGGCTGCAAGAAGCATCCCTGGCCTTCAACGAATATCTTCACAAACCGCACGTCGCCGCCTCAGATGTGCAGGGATTGTCGCCAGAAGACCCGCCAGACGTCCCATTTTGACAGGAAACCACCGTCAAGCACGTCTACAGTGGTGCAGATAGCGTCTACGCTCGACGGTCATGCAGTGGGGACAAGTTCTATTCACTGACGAGTATCGTTTTCACCTCAGCCACAGCGATGGACGGATTCGAGTGTACCGACGTTGAGGTGAACGTTACGTCAATCATTGTGTCATGGAAGAAGATCGGTTCGGGGGCGGCAGCGTCATGGTATGGGGTGGGATTACAGCAAGACAGAGGACCCGTTTGATAGTGGTAGAGGGAATTCTCAATGGACAGCGCTACCGCGACGAGGTCATCGGCCCTGTTGTTCTACCTTTTTTGCGTCGTCATGGCCCAGGCATTACCTTTCAACATAACAACGCCCGGCCTCATATTGCTCGACTTGTTTAGGATTTTCTTCACCAAAACAACGTGAACGTCATCCCCTGGCCGGCTCGCTCCCCTGATCTCTCACCAATCGAGCACATGTGGGATTAAATGGATCGGCGCCTTTGACACCCGGTCCATTCTATGAGACGAAGATGTGTTGCTTGCATCGCAACCAGAGGTGGACACACACGCTATTGATTTGTAAATTTACATTTTGGCATGTTCATGTTTTTTTTTATACAATCACGCATTTTCTGAAGTCAGTATGGCAAATTAACCATTTGAACACTCACAGGAGTCTTTTATCTGTTGCAAACCGAAATTGTTTCAGATAAGGTAAAAAACATAACTTTGCATTAAATCTTATACAATGTCACAGGAACTTTTGTTGTTCACTTTATATGAGTAATCATATGCAACACTCGATCATTAGCCACGTACCAGCTTGTGATTGGGACAAAAGGTTGTTATATTTCAAAAACTTAATGATTCAGGCTACTTTCGACGAAGTTGGGTACAATCAATGATTTTATCGCCTATCGACGTCTCAGTGATTCTCGACGTCTTGATGTCATGCTGTGCTGATCGAAAGAACTTGACACTAGACTCTCTGTAAATAATCGAGTCTGGACCAGACAATCAAAGTGATTGATATCATCAGCATCAAACCATGCAATTGGGATGCGATGACATTCATCAACCATGTCAGCGAGCCTCACCACCCGATCTCGTTAGTCGCCTCTTACGACAAGCATAATCGACTCTCAAAACAAGCATCACTTGCTGAAGACCTATTACAACCTGGATGTACCATAATGTATCAACTGGATTTCGATCGATTTATGTACAATGTGAAATTCATTGGCGCTCATTGGTTGGGTATGGTACAATGTTTTAGCCAGAAGTTAGACTTTTAATGTTATTCACTGCCAGAAATATATTGTTCTTGTTGTGCGATCTCTCTTTGTTATGTGTTATGGATCCACTCGTAACAACTCTATTTTTACCAGCTGCCTGGGTGAGTCTATCATGTAATTTGAGGGGGTAAACTTTAAATTACATAAATCACTGGTGCATAAAATTGTTTTGATAACACTGTTGGCGAACTGCACTGTATACGAAGTTAGACGACGCACTGATGCATTAAGTTGTTTTGATAAAACTGTAGGCTCATTAGGCTAAAATATGGCAAGTTGTATACAGAATATACTTTTCATTCAATTCTGTCAACTTAACCTTAATCAGATAAAAGCAATCAGAATACCCGATCTGCAGCTGAGCGTCTCTTTACTTAATCTTGATGCTCTGATAACAATTAACCAAGAAAGTATCTTCTGCAAATCACAACGGCATGCATACAGCACATAATAAAAGTAACATGTATGTCGGGGCCATTGTCGACAAGAAAAGACAAGATATCAGTCGAAGCTAATAAGGCTACGAGAACTGTATAAGAATATGAGAGTATAAGCATACAGATCAAATAATTGTTAAGAAAACTGGATAGTATTGGTGACAACTAACACCCCTGTTTCGTGTCACGGCTCACTTTAAATAAGGGTGTAGAAAACCAAACACCAGGATGAAACATTGCACATCCTGGAGATAGGATTGTAAGGCATTCAAAGCTATGAACACTATATACTCCATAAATCCGTAAGCCATATGTAATCGAACGTGATAGCATATTATGTTATCTTCATATGAATATGCAGAGTGATTATGGAGTCCTTAAACTTTTATTGGTGAACAGTAACAGTAACAGTTACCATGGGGACAACCGCCAACCGTTGCTCTATGTTACGTCCTATGGTCACGTATAAATATCAAATAGGACTGAAATGTTGCAGACTTCGTCATATTTGCCCTTAGTGAAGATGCAAACGTTGATCGACATTGACGTCCGTTTCCATATTCTTTAATGTTATGTGTAACTGAATTATGCCGACCAGCCTTCGTGCATGTCAAAAGTAATGAGCTAAGATTGCAATACACATGTGTGATGTTTACAACACTCAGGGCCTCAGTAAAGCTTTCAAAAAGGTTTGTGTTAGTCATGTTGAGGACATTTCCAAATTTGATGCATCAGTGACCGATGCAATTCCCTATTTTGACCTGTATCCTATATTCCCCTATTTTTCAGGTGAACAATTGACTTGCCTTTGCATGGGTCTATGATGTGTGCCACCGGTGGGGCAGGATATGCTCACCTTTTCATGAACATCTAGTATCATCACTATTTGACAGTGTTTCATAAACACACTGTGTTGTCAAGTCTGAACAACTAATGAATATGTTTACAGTTACAGGTATAAATGTCCGACCTTCCAATGGTGTCCGCCCATTCATGTGTCACTTTAATCTAGATACGAGGCAGTCGACTTTGTCTCTGTGACATCGTCATGATGAGATCAAGAAACGAGAACATATGAAATATTTCGACCAGCTATTCAAGATATGTGGTTTGTGGTTGGTTTTGGTAACGACGCAGGTCTTTGACTGTTACCACTTTGGCAAAACCCATGAGCGCATTGAGAAAAAAAATAACTTTCGTTTGCTTTATCAAAATAAATTGCCGAACAAATATTGTTGCTGAAGATTTCAAAAATACAGTATAATATTTTATTAAGGCCACACTTTTTTATTTCACTGTTATCGAATTATGGCTTCATAAATAATTAATCTTTTTCGCCAAGTAGCAAGAAGGTCGGTCGTTTCGATAATTGGTTGGGAACAGCAAATGCTAATACTAATTAAAGTGCAAGATGATTAGTATTTTACAGTAACGTGCATATGGATTTTTTTCTGAGAAGGCGTGTTCCTGCTTTCCTTTTAAGTTGTGTGTAGGTGCCACAGACTACACACAATGCATATGATTAATTATTATTTATAGTTGACAGTTACTTTAGTTATATATGAATTTTGCAAATTTGTTTTTTAATTAGTAAGGGGTGATCGTATAATAAATATAAAATTATACTTTTATCAAAACGCCAGTTAAAAGAGAGAAAGCACAGATGATGTCACAGATCTCGGCCATGGACGAAAGTTCGAACAGCAAGAACCTGCAAGTTGGCAAGAACGCACAAACAGAGCTTTTGGAGAAATTGGTGAAAGGTCTGAAGGAAGCGCTCAAGACAATGCAGAAGGACATACAAGAGACGGACAGGGAGCATAAACGACAGATTAAAGCACTTCATGATCAGCTTCATGACGCACGTGGTCAAGGAAGTGTCGACACGAAAGCGGCATCTGGGAAAGGTAAATAATGTCTGGACAAACCAAGTGCACGTACTAGATTATTTGAGGAGATTGATATCGATGCGGGTACAAAACGTGGAAAACAGTGGCCCAAGGAAAGCGCTTTGGGGAAGATAAGTTTTGAACAGCCAACATATTATGCCAGTTTGCAGCTAGAGGGAGGTAGATGCAAAGAACAAAGGCCTAAAGTAGACGGTATTGAGGTTGACCAAATTGCTGTTGTCGAGGGTTGATTATACATTTCATTTGTCATGATTATACCTGACACTTTGTCATGATCTCATTTGTCATGGCTATACATCTCACTGTCACGTTTATACCTCCCATGTGTCATGTTTATACCTCTCCGTTTTCCATATTATACCTGTCATTTGTCATATACTCATTTGTCATGTTTATACTTTTGATTGGTCATGATTATACCTCTCGTTTGTCATGATTATACCTCTCATTTCTCTACCTATTATTTGTAACAATAAAACCTCTCATTTGCAATGATTATATTACTGTTATTACTAATTTGAGGATAGTGTGTTCACAAAATTACGTTATTATTAACCTCATTTTGAAAAAGCGCGATGTATAATAAGGGCCGTTTTGGCACAATGGAAATGTGAAATGTAAGGTTGAGGTAAACTGTAAATATTAGTTTAAGATTTATCATACAACGTACAAGTGATGTTCAAATTTCTGTTTTCTTTCTAAAACGTGCAAGGTTTTAGACTTCTGGCATGATCAAGTAGGGTCTACATAACAAGGCTAAAATGTTTATAAAAAGGCTGGGGTCTTTCTGTAAGTTTCTGTTTACTAAAAAGGACAGTCTGTAACCAGAAGTTAGCAATCATTACAAGAAATCATTTATTTTAGCTTCATCAATCATTCTTCATTTGCCTATAGTACTTGTCTGAAAAGAAGTTGAGGATACAATGATTCAATAGAATATACTTCAAAAACCATAATAACTGTTGAATTTAATCAAGTAGTTGAGTAATGGCATGCTTCTAAGGTTCATAGCATGGAAAAGAACATTTGATTCCTTTTAATTGTCACAGTATTTGTAGTCTTTATAGTAATTACAATTTATACAAGTGAGATACTTGAAAAAATATTCTTTAATTCTTTAATCGACACAAAATGGACAAACAAGTAAAAAGTAATTTTCATCTTCGATATAATTTAAAGTACATATTTGACCAATTCTGTCTTCTATGTGGAGTCCACAGTGTCTACCCGATTCAAAAAGGAGACAGTGAGCACCACTCGGAATTTCTTTAAATGTCTGTCAAACAAAAGTGCTCTGTATCAAATTTTGTTGCATGTATAGTGATTTAGTTTATTGGACAAAGGTAGAAATGGTAACAACTTTTGTAGGTGTATGTCTTTTAATGTATTGGTAAGCTAAATAATAAATCGCTGTATCATGTGCACATTTTGTTCAGTCCAAACATAACCATACCGAGATGAAGTAATTAACTGTTAAACATACTATGTCCAGTTAGATTTACCTTGACGAACATACAGTAACAGTATATACTAACATCTCTTTGGAAATCTTGCATTTGGCATCATAAGTGCTTTAACCAGCATTTGATGACAATAAATGGGCGTCTATGTACAATGGGCATCTTCAACATTCACCGTAGATCGTCACATTTTGAGTGCTAGGTTTAACCGAGAGTTCCTACTGGCATAAAAATGAATCTTTCAAAAGCATTTAATATTCATGAAGTCCAAATTTCGGCTCAAAACATCATAATTGCGCTTATTTTCTTAGCTTGTAAAGCAGTCGTGTTAACACGCATAGACTATAACAATCTGTCCGTAAGATAGATACCAATATATTAATCAAAAGTACCGACATCTGGAGGGTGTCCTTTGTAAAACCATTTTCCTCTCTGAGATAATCTGGATTGCTCAGATTGAATTTTCAATAATATCTGGCATAGTTGAAAACAGTTACGTTTTGACAGAGTGTCTTCAAGGATGATGTAGATAACCATTTATCTGTTGTTATGTCTATTGACGGAAGCAGGGTTACTCCTTGATATGAACATTGGTATGTACATGTACCAATGGGAAACAAATATAATTAGTATATTAGAGGTCATGTTACAGCATAGGGGAACAAACTGGAGCGTGTGTTCATATAGTGTTCCAACAAATATATTGTATATTGAGTAGGAGCAGGAGTTAGTGAAAATAATGTTATAACATATTTCCAGTGACATCACGGATGGAAGATGGCCATCCTCAAGATGACGAGGACGCTTTAAAGATTACGAAGTGGTGGCAAGCGTCATCCCTTTTGAAGTGGTAGGTAAAGGGCGAAACACTAGCGGCAATCCACGTTTATATTATTCTGTAGAAGGATAAAATTCGAGGTCCCTTGCCGAATAGAGAACGCATTCGTGCATGCTGTGTTATTCTGCATCCATTTATCCATTGACTAAACCTTACACAATGTTACCAGTCATTGTTTACAGGTAGGAAATACTTGGAAATTATTTTTTCTTCGCTGAAGTTGGGAAAAGTGATAATTTCATTGCAGTGAACATAACACTTGATATTAAACTGCAGTGAACATAACGCTTGATATTTGACTGCAGTGAGCATAACACTTGGACGGAACTGTTGTCTTACAAGAGTCACTCCCATAACATTTTCTCCCCTTTACAGTAAGTGTCTACCTGTACACAAACTGTCGACTTCCTTTAACGTTAGTTCAACATTTACATGGCAAAATAATGACAGGTATTCTTTTATGGAGTTAATATCGCTTCTTGTCGTTTGTTATCGAAAATGTTTCGTTGTAAACTATTCATTGCACAAATTCTATTCATTTGTGTGAGCATCATTTAAGAATATGAACATTCCTGACGTTAATTCGTTTTAATGTCTAGTTCATTGCATATGTAAAACAACAACCTTGATGTGCTTAAATGTGATTTCTCCACATGTACAGTTTTAGAACATGGTAAGTGGATGTGAACAGTTTTTCAGTGCATATGTAAAATGTGTCATGCGTGTGTGAATGGTTATTCTGATCAGGAGCTCTGGTCACGTGAAAATCAGTCCATAGCATAAATCGTGTATAAATGTTTTAGAATAAAACAAGCTTGTATTATGTTTCTTGAAGTTCATATAAATATATAACACAAGACCAAATAGCGTCCATTCCAATTTGGAATGAACGTTGGAATGCTTTGGAAAGATCGCTCATTCCAAACTTTCCAAAGCTTGGAAAGATCGATCTTTCCAAAAAATCCAAAATTGGAATGGCATTGGAAATGTTTGGAATGACTTGGAATGGTTTGGAATGGTTTGGAATTGTTTGGAATTGTTTGGAAATATGGTTAGAAGGAACAAGTTAAAATATGTTTTATCAGTAATTTGAACAATAAAAAGACTATGAATTAGGGGCTTTAGGGGTTGCTTATATAGTAATTTTGAAATTTTGAGATTTGGAAAGAATGCCAAGAGTGGGTGGGGTACGAAATAAGGGAGCTGTGTGTGTTGGATGGTTGTTAGATAAGGTAGTTTTGGTTTTATTATTTTATTTGGGGTTTAAATGCGACTAATTAGTCCTGTTTTAATTAGGTATAAACCTAAGGCTTTGATTTTTTCTAATTTATTTTATGGATTTAGGATTGATTCTAGTGTAAGTCCGGTTTTAAGATTTAGGGTGGTCTGTAGTGTTGTTCGGTGTGTTTGGTAGTGTGTGCAGTGAATGAGTACGTGTTCTGGTGTTTCTTGTTGTTTGCAATGTGGGCAGTTTCCTGTTGTGTGTAGATTAGCTATTTTACGGTGATTATTTAGTTTGGTGCGGCCTGTTTTTAGGTTAGTAATTATTCTGTCGATTTTTTTGGATGGGTGTAGTATTTTTGGTTTATTTATGTGTTTTTTTAGTACTTTCCTGATCTGGCTATTTAAGTTTTGGTATATATTTTGCCATTTTTTGTTGATTTTTTGTTTAGTGAGACTTTTGATTTCTGATTTTGAGCTGGGTAAGTTTAAGCTTATTTCTGGGAGTTAAAGGGATAATTTTGCTGCTTTATCTGCCTTTTCATTTCCAAAGATTCCTACGTGGGCGGGGGTCCAAATGAACTCTATTTGTTTACCTGCCCTAGTTAAGTTGTTTGAGCTATTGAATATTTGATTTATTAGTTTGGGGTGGTTTTTAGTGTTTTTATTTTTGAGGGCTTGTAGTCCACTGAGGGAGTCGGTTAGGATGAGGATTTTTTTGATTTTATTTTAGATTGCTGATTGTGTAGTGCTGAGACAACTACTGACTGATCATGATATAGAAGATTTAACGTGCGCTTTCCGACTGCAGCGTATTTCGCACACGGGCCTGGCCGGACCATTTAGTGTATTCCGAAAAGGGTGAAAGTGGTGTGTGCAACCCAAGAGGGAGCTTTTAGGGGTTGCTTATATTGATTTTTTGAGATTTTTAAATTTGGAATAAATGCCGAGGTGGGTGGAGGAGGGAACTAAGGGAGCCGGGTGAGGTTGGTGTTTGTATGTTTATTGGATTTTGGATTGGTAGATTAATTAGTTTTTGATTAGGAATACGCCTAGGGCCTTGAAGTTTTCTAGTTTATTTTGAGGGTTTAGTATTTCATCTAGAGTAGGAACCTTATTTAGATTGAGGGTGGTTTGTAGAGTGGTTCTGTGTGTTTGGTAGTGGGTGCAGTGGATGAGTGCGTGTTCTGTGGTTTCGAGTTGTTTGCAGTGGGGGCAGTTGCCTGTGGTGTGTCTTTTAAGTTTTTTTAGGTGGTTATTTAGGTTCGTGTGTCCTGTTTAGAGTTTTGTAATTAATCTGTCAATTTTTTTAGAGGGGTGTAGGATTTTAGGTTTGGCTAGTGGTTTTCTGAGCACTTTTTTGATTTGGCTATTTGAGTTTTGATATTGATAATGCCATTTTTTGGTTATTTTTTGTTTGTTTACACTTTTAATTTCTGATTTTGAGATGGGTAGGTTTAGGCTTATTTCTGGTATTTTAAGAGATAATTTAGCTGCTTTATCGGCGCTTTCGTTGCCGTAAATTCCTACGTGGGCGGGGATCTACAAGAAGGTTATTTGTTTGCCTGCTTTTGTTAGGTCGTTGGAGCTTTTAAGTATTTGGTTTATTAATTTAGGTCGTTTTTTGGTATTTCTGTTTTGGAGGGCTTGTAGTCCACTAAGGGAGTCGGTGAGAATTAGGATTTTATTGTTGTTTTTAGATTGTTGGTTATGCAGGGCTGAGGCCATGCCCATAAGTTCGGCCGTGAATATAGATTGGTTGTTAGGGAGTCGGTAAGATTGTGTGGATATAACTGGTTGTGTGGTATGGACTCCGAAGCCTGTGTGGTTGGAGATCGGGTCTGAAGATCCGTCAGTGTATATGTGACACCCATTGGGCCAATTTTCGTGTATGTATGCAACACAAGGCGAAATTCCAATATATACAAAATATACAATTTTGTATATATGATATATCCAAAAATATACAATTTTGTATATATGGATTGATTTTACCTCTGCTTCATTCAGTTTCTTTACATTGCAGACATTAATGCTCACAATGTGTGGTTGCTATTGAATATATTACTAAGAATACCGGACAGTATTATTGTATGTGACAAGTGTATACTATTGGCATTATGACAACTCTATTTGGAGTGTTATGAAATAATTTGTATTTATTTATGTTGACAGCATTTTACGCAATAAAGAAATAGAACACTTGAGCAGACAGTTACATCAATAATATATATAGTAAGTGCGCCATCTGTTTACAAATAAGAAGATCTATACATACAAGTCGTTCAGAGTAGTTTCAAACAATGACGGTAAAATTAATATATCATGAATATCGGCAAATATGAATATATACAATTTAATATATATGTTTCTGTTATGTCATGGTATGGTGATTCTAAATCTAAAATGTTGCTTGATATTGTTTTGACAAACAGCTGTATGCACTGTCCAATGTGATACTCCTACGTAAGTATATAAAAAAGGATGTTCGTTTAGTCAATTGACATATTAGTGGGATTAGTGTGACAGGATAATTAAGTTTGTCATCTGGTATAATGCACTTCCTCGATTAGCATAATTAGAAAAGAGTTTGTAAATAGTTATATGTGGACTCCAGTTAGCTAAGGCAGCCAAGCATCAGTGGAGAGTGTGAGCAGCTCGAGAAGAGGCGAGCAACTCAATGTGATTTACGAATTTGTGGAATTTTAATAAATAAACGAACGCCTGTCACAAAAATGTAGTTGAACATAGAACACACAGAATCGCAGATTTTTCTATCGTACATTTGAGGGTGAACGTGAACGAAGCCGTGCAGGGTGCCTTACATCGATTTTACTTCAGAACACAGAGTGAGCTCAGGTAAGTTTATTATCGCATTCATTCGTGCAATAGATATGGCAATCATGCGCTGACTTTGTATGTGTTCGAACATTTGGAAGAAATAAAAAATGGACTTACGAGTCGAGTACACAACAAAGCCATTAAGTGAATATCAAATAAATTGATTCACAATGTGACAACCTCTCATCCAAAATTTGTTTAATGCAACATTCAGAAATGTACAATCGTTATTATAAAATACAGCTTGTTTATATATATGTGTCGCTACCTCTCTCATGTTAAATACATAAATGTATAAAAATGTTTTAATATAATTTAATATTACTATTAGTTTTACATTATAAGTAACATTATGGACCCTAGCATGTCGAGCCAAGAATCAATTGCATATATTATTCACCTTGGAATGTCTGTTTACTGTGTTTACAGCGGGGTCCAGGCAATTCCCTAAGTGGACAATTCCAACTACTACTGCGTAAAATATTAATGCCGATTTGGAGAAAATTACTAAATGGATGAAAACAAGTAAAGTATAATCTAAAGAAAACAGAAACTATTCAATTTCACGTTAAAGTCAATCTAAATGCAATACCTAACCGTAAAATGAAAAGATTTTTTATCAGTGACTTTTGGTTAAATGTTTCAGTCAGATTGTTAATAGCATTCTGATATTGTCGATTAGTTAAAAAGATTGTGGGTATACGTGTAGGTAATTCTCTCACAATGGCAGAAAGTCACTCAACCAGTTCATGTATTCTACGTCAAAGAAGATCAGAACCCGTGTATAATTACAACATCCTCAGAATACCAATAACAACGAAATGTAGAAATTAACAAACATGACCAACATTATTATTTCATGTTAATCTTTGTGCCATGCATGTAGCTAGATTATACATATGTATACTTTTTCAGTCTGTGTGAAGTCGTGCATAAATACAGTTGATTTT